GATAAAAACTAAACATCCTACAGTATTTTTACAGTCTTTATTTTACAGTTAAAACATATGTTTATCAAATAAAATCTAATGTTACAACTAATCATGGATCCCTTTAAAACTTTGACTCCTGGCATTTTTAAACAATGCATGGGGATGACTCAACTGCCAAAAAGTTTTTGCAAAATATTTGTCAAATTAACAGCAGATTAAGTAAAAAAAATGGGGTAAGATTACTTGGACATGTATAATGAATGGCAAAAAAGAACAGCAACTTATGAAACAAGGAGATTATTTTTTCCCCATCGTTCATAATCATTTACATATTACTGAGAGGAGGGAGAGCAAATTAAGTTCAAACACAAAAAATTATGATTAATGAGAAAATGTGCTGCATAAATAAAATGATTTCATTACTGGGGGAACAATTTATATTTTCCATGTAGGCTACTTATTATGAAACACAAATAGGAATGCTGTACAACACTGCCTGCTTTTTTCCCCCAGCTGCATAAATGCAATTCTGATTCAATTAGGCCCTGACCACAGAGACAGAAAACCGATTACTAAATACATTCTTGCTGTTATGGTCACAACCAGGAGCAGCGATGAGCATCATAGCATGAGAATGATTCATTGTTGCTTTCTAGCTCTACATCAAGCAGCAAGAACTCAAGTGCAACAGTTTGCAGGGCGAATGTGCCTCTGCTTGCCGTAGCTAAAGCTGTCAAACTGGATTGTTTCACAGGCTGGGACAGGGACAGCAGACGAAAGGAGAGGAAGAGTGTTGAGCAACACAAAGAGTTTCTGCCAAGTTCACAGCAAGTTAAACTACTCAACTTTCCTGGATGTGACAGTTTTTACTGGAGAAACAAAGGCAGCAGAAGGATTGAGATTCAAGGGCTGCTCTTGCATTTAAGGGAGCTACAAAAGCAACAGCTGTGAATCTTTAAAAGAGTGAGGGAAACTGAACTGGAGGGACAGATTTATGACAAGATGAAGGATGGTGATGTCAACTCTTTCAGGAGACTAAGCAAATGGTTTGGCCTTAGTGCCTTGGGCAGAAACAGCTGGATTAGACCAGATTACACATTTATTTTTGTTTTAGCAAATACTTTGTTGGACAAAAAAACAATGAAACCCAGAAACTGCTAACTAGAAGTAGTTAGCAGCAATCATGGTAAAATGGGAATTTTGAAGTTGATAAACTTAGAATGTTAAAAATGGCACCAGATAGTACAGGTGGACTCACAAAGAAGATGGATTAGTAATACATATAATCAGATCTTCATAAGGGACAGTAATCGTGTTTCCATCAAAGTTTTTTGTGCACATTTTGAAGTATCACATTAGAAAAGGTGGATTAAAATGGCAAAATTTGCAAAAAAGCTTTTATGCTTGCTTGAGGTGGTTTTTGGAATTTCTGAAAAAGAGTTAATGTGCAAAAGGGGAGATGGACACACATTTGCAAAATAAGTTCTGACGTAGCGAACGTTTACCTCAATCAGCTGTTCCCGCTGTCCAGTAATTATAGCGGCTGCAGCTGGACCCTCCTCTCGCTGTCAGCGTCTTCCCGGATATTCCCATAATGTTAAGAGAATTGCATTTCTTTTTCTACGGCTCCAGACAGCATGCAATGGTACTAGTGGATATGATAAAATAATTACAACTTTTCTGATAGTAGCAACACTTCTCTCAATTGTCGCGAAATATGTATCCCTGCAAGTTTGCGACTTTAATTCCTGTTTACTACATGCATGCATTTTGTCTAAGTAATTATGCTTAATTAGATTCGCTCCAAGCCAGTGGATAGAAACACATCTGATGTGCATTTCTTTTTTTGCAACATTTTAAAAGTTCGTTCAAAATTTGCATTACATTGGATGGAAACATGGCTAGTGAAATAGGAAAAGCAACACAGCTACATTCTTATGCCAGCATTACTTTGACATTAAATTCAATTTCAATTAACAACGCTCAAAACTGATACAACTTTAAAGATAACATTTTGCCAAACTTTATTTGATCAACTTATTAGGAAGCATGATCCAGATAAAATTCACACTAAGGTGCAATACTTACCGCA